GGAAAATGCAAGTGCCAGTTCTCGGCTGCACTTTCCTCACGCTGTCAGATCGTGAGGAAAGTACTGCCGAGAACCGGCAGTTGTCAGAGCGGGGATCGGCACCGATCATCAGGGCACTGATGATCGGTGCCCAGCAGTGCCACCCGCAAGCTCCGCCCACCTGTGCCCAGCAGTGCGCCCACTAGCTCCGCCCACCTGTGCCCAGCAGTGCACCCACCTGTGCCCAGCAGTGCACCCACATGTGCCACTCTGCAGTGTCACACACCTGTGCCCAGCAGTGCCACCCACCTGTGCCCACCCACCTGTGCCCACCCACCAGTGCTGCCAGTCAGTGCCACCAGTCAGTGCCCAGGGGTTGTGCCAGTCAGTGCCGCCAGTCAGTGCCCAGCAGTGATGCCAGACAGTGCCGTCTATCAGTACCCATCATCAGTGTCACCTATCAGTGCCGCCTATCAGTGCTGCATATTAGTGCCGCCTATCCGTGCCACCTCATTAGTACTGCCTATCAGTGCCCTTTAGTGCTGCCTATCAGTGCCCATCAGTTCTGCCTCATCAACGCACATGAGTGAAGGAGAAAAACTACCTGTTTGAAAAATTTTATAATAGAAACAAAGAAACTTTTTTTTTTTTTTCAAATTTTTTGCAGTTTTTGTATTTATAGCGCAAAAATTAAAGCGCCCAGTGGCGATTAAATACCACCAAAAGAAAGCTCTATTTGTGAGAAAAAAATGATCAAAATTTCATATGGGTACAATGTTGCATGACCGCGCAATTGTCAATCAAAATTGCGGCAGCGCTGAAAGCTGAAAATTGGCCTGGTACATAAGGGGGTATAAGTGCCTGGTAGGCAAGTGGTTAAAAGGTGAAACTAATGTATGAGATAGACTCATTACATGCAAAGCAAGATAGTTCAAGTCGTGATTTGTCATAGTTGTGATGATTATGGCTTACAGCTCATGAAAACCCCAAATCCACAATCTCAGAAAATTAGAATATTACATGCAATCAATAAAACAAGGATTGTACATAGAACAATATCGGACCTCTGAAAAGTATAAGCATGCATATGTACTCAGTACTTGGTTTGGGCCCCTAATGAGTCTCATATTAGTTTCACCTTTTAAGTTGCATTACTGAAATAAATGAACTTTTGCACGATATTCTAACTTTTCGAGTTTCACCTATATATCAATTGATAGGTTAAGGGCAGCTGCGTCTGGATGAGTCCATCCCCTCTTAGAGGTACAGAGACACACGACACCCAACTATAATAAAATTACAGCAAAGGCCTTCAGTGCGACCCTGCATCCAAATTAGCCATCTGCACAAAAAATGGCAACCATCCCAACCTATAACCAGCCTTAGCATTTTTTTAATCATGATTCACACAAACATTCATGTGTCGCACATAGAACAGCTCATTCACTTGAATGGGCTGCCCTATGCGCATCTGTCGTGCTAAAGAAGCCCCTGCACCAGTTTGGGCTATGAGCTTCGTGTACGTTTTTCCACGATTCCTGTATGTTTTTGTTGCGTGACAATAACCGTAAGATCGCATCGCATTTGGAGTGCCATTAAAGTGTTACTAAACCCAGGACCCTGCATTCACTATATCTAGTCTCCCACAGTACACACAACATGGAAATCCAATTATTTTAGTAAATATAAACTGCAAAATACCTTTTCTCATCAGCAGTTAGAGCAGTCTTGTGACTTCTATCAGTGTTCAGCAGAGCACCTGTTAAAGCTTGTAAGAGGAGTTTTGTTTCTGCTCTAGAAAAATGCAAAACCTCTGACCTTTGCACAGACAGTGCTGATTGGCCCTGTGTTAATCACATGCACTCTCCAAAAAAAAAAAAAAAACCTCTCTAGCAATACACACTAAACTGAGCATGTGCAGAATGGCTATGGTTCAGTCTGTCGTATCAGGAGAGAAGACGTGGAAATTTGAACAAGAGGAGGTGCAGAGAAGTCAGGATCAAACAGCCTTTTTACACAATGTAGAGGATTAACCTCTTAGGTTCCACAGTGAGTATAATAAGCATGCTTTACTGCATATACAGACTGATTTTACCATTGTGGGTTTAGTAGCACTTTAAGCATGAATGGCACCCAAACACGCATTTCATGTTTTGCCACACGATTTGGAAACAAGGGCAGCATTGTGACAATTCTGCCTGCAATTCCAAATCGCTGAGTGTGAATGCAGTCTAATCTTTACTGAAAATAAAGTTTGGGGTTCCCCCTTATTATTCATACCAGACCCTCATCCACAATTATGGTTTGCTATGAATATAAAGGGTAACACAGCCGCAAAACTAAATTTTGGCGTTTCCCCCAATATCCACACCAGGCCCTCATCCAGAATTTGGGTGTTATTATTATTAAAGGGAACGCAACATCAACAATTAAAAGCTATGTAGGGTTCTCCTTTAATATCATAACAGTCCTTATCCAGGAATAGGATTTCTTGAAAATAAAGGATAACTCCACCGTAAAAGTAAAATTTGGGGTTCTCCTTTAATATCCATACCAGACCCTCCAACAGAAGTACAGTCTGCTAGGATTATAAAAGGGAACTACGTAGCAAAAAAAAATAAAAGCCGTGTAGAGCCCCCCCCTTAAAATAATAACAGACGCTCATCCAAGAATAGGGTATCATATGAATATAAAGGATAACTCCATGAAAAACTAAAGTGTGGTGTTCCTTTTTATATCCATAGCTTACCCTCATCCAGGATTAATGTCTGCTAGGACTATAAAGGGAAACCCCGCCACAAGACTAAAGTGTGGAGTTTTCCCCCAAAATCCACACCAGATCCTCATCAGTATTCGGTTTGATATGAACATAATGGGTAACTCTGCCACAAAGCTAAAAAGTGTGGTCTTCCCCTTTAATATCAATACCAGACCATCATACAGGATTAGGGTCTGCAATGATTATAAAAGGAAACTCCATGACTAAAATTAAAAGTGGAGTTCCCTTTTAATATCCCAGCCCAAACCCAGGATTGTTACTTGCTATGATTCTAAAGGGTAACTTTACTGTAAAAGTAAAGTGTGGTGCTCCCCTTTAATATCCATGCCAGACCCTCCTCCAGGATTACAGTCTGATATGAATATTAAGGGTAACTCAGCAGTTTACACAAAAAAGTAGGTTCCCTCTTAATGTTCATACCTGACCCTCATCTAGGATTATGGTCTGCTATGATTATACAAAGGGAACTCAGCGGCAAAAAATTCAAAGCTGCATGGGGTTCCTTTTTAATCTCATATCAGACCCTCATCCAGGAATAGGGTCTAATATGAATATAAAGGGTAACCCTGCCACAGAACTAAAGTGTTCCATCCCCTTTAATATCCATACCAGACCCTCATCCAGAATTATGGTCTGGTCAGGTATCGTCATAAAGGGAAACTCCACCACAAAACTAAAGTGTGGTGTTTCCCTTTAATATCCATACCAGACCATCATCCAGCATCAGAGTCTGATGTGAATGTAACGGGGAACCCCACACCAAAAATAAAACAAAATCTGGTTCCCCTTAATAACAGGCTCTCCTCTAAAATTAGGTTCTGATATGAATATAAAAAACTAGTCTGCAGGAAACATTAAAAAATAAGGATGGGCTTTGCTGACATTCATACCAGACCATAATCCCAGCATGCACTGTCAGGCCAGAATGGGGAGGCTGGCAGCATGTGAGCAGTCTTAGTCTGTGTACCCTTTATGTCTGTGATTGCACATTTCCTGTCTAGGATTTTATCTATTTATTTCAGGTACTTATATAGTGCCATCAATTTACGCAGCGCTTTACATATATATGGTATACTCACATCAGTCCCTAACCCTCAAGAGGAGTACAATCTAAAGTCCCTAACTCACATTCATACATACACATATTAGGGACAATTTAGACAGGATCCAATTCACCTACCAGAATGTCTTTGGAGTGTGGAAGGAAACCGCAGGAAATCCACGCAGGCACAGGGGAGAACATGCAAACTCCAGGCAGGTGGTGCCGTGGTTGGAATTCGAAGCAACGACCCTAATACTGCCAGGCGGAAGTGCTAACCATTTAGCCACTGTGCTGCCCATGGTTTGCAAAGCTAGAGTCCCTGCTAAACAGCAAACTACTCACTGCAGAGAGGGATGGACTGTGGGTGGTGATAACAGAATTCTATTATTTCACCACCTGTGTGAAGTTCCATAAACGCCCACAGTAACCCTAAAACTCAAACACATCAACTCCTAGAACTGGTACAAGTGACTCCCAGAGCCCGCCCTGAAATCACAAAGGTTCAAAGGATCCTGGGATATGTAGTTTCAGGGCTGGCAAAGAAAGGAAGCAGGAAGTCAGATCACTTTGAATTGTAGCCATGAGGAGGAGTGACATCACAGACACAAAAACCTGCTGTATACAGCTAAAGCAGGTAAGTTACACACAAACTGACAGTGTGGTTGTGATTCATTCACATGCATAAAGAATCTGTTGTTTCGGAGAGGAAAACCTGGAAATCAGCTTTAATTGCTTCTTGTGCTTAGTGAGGGAAGTTGGCACAGATTACGGACCTCTACAATTCAGTCTGCTTAAAGCAGAAGTCTATGAGAATCACCAGCAGAGTGTGCTGCCAACATACCTGCTGAAGAGAAATGGCACACTACCCTAATTTTACACAATAAAAGTGCTTTGCAAAATTAAAATGCAGTATGAATATTATTCACTGCCCCAGAAATGGTATGTGGCCTGGGGTCTTACCCTGGCAGTCTTCACCTGACGGTACTCACACAGTTATTTTACTTTACAAGAGATTTAGAAGAATTTTTACTTTTTCTTTCAACCAATAAAAAGGAGCGGATGGGCAGATCTTCTTGTTCAGCAGTGAGCACGGTAACAAGATTTTGTCAGACAGGAGAGAAGGAGATACTGTCATTTGATCCAGAGATGTTTATTTATAATTAATTCAAGTAATTACTGTAGGTATATCATTTTCTTTACCTCTTCATCCCGAAGGCCTTCCTCCTCCATCACTTTTTCCAGCCTCTTCTGTCTAAAAACAGAAAAGAGAAATCGGAGACATTAATATAAGATGTTACTGTACACTGGTGTTCAATTCAATTTCACTATACCATGAAAGAGCTTATTATATGGCATGGTCAGCTTTTCTTCCGAGCTCACATAAATGACCTGAGACAGCAAGGAATACCTGTGTCTTACACCCAGTCTAGCTCAATACTACTGCATATGGTATAAAATGCATTACAAGTATTATGTAGAGAACAAGACAAATGAGACGTTATCTGGTAACAATATTTACTTCGCTATAAAAGACAGTAAAGAATTATGATGATACTGCAATAAAATAGGAGGGTCATGGCTGGCTGTGATGATCACTGCATCATACTAGATAATAAAAAAGATGTTCCTTCTATTGCCAAAAGGAATTCTGTGCATGGACATGCAGAAAATCATAGACAAAACTTTTTATAACCTTTCAGAAAGTCATTTGTTTAGCCATGTAGAAAACAATTAAAGGGAAATACAGTGTATTTAGTGAATACTTACTGTTTCTCTGCCAGTAAAGTGTAATGTACTTTAGACAAGTTACTTTTTGCTGATCCTTAGTGTTAAAGTGATACTAAAACACACACTATTTACATTATCCCTTCTCTTTCTATGGAAGATGGCACTAAAATAAGCCATACACAGCTTTCACATGACCAAACTCTTTCTGGGCCTATCTGCAGGGAAACAGTGGCAATAGGGGCTTACAGTCCTCTGCTGTTGGTCACAAGGTCAAAAAAGAAAAAAAAAGCTTTTGGAATACAGAGTAAAAATAATCAATAAACTCTTTTAAATTGTCATTAATATATATATTTGAAATCAAATCTTTATGATTTTTCACAATAACATGGTGTGGGCAGATTTCTCCAGCCTGTGTCTATTGTGTGTATGTGCTTAGAAAACAGGGAGTAATATCCCACCCCTACTGTGTTATGCTGGTTAGTGGGCATGGGGAAAGAGGGACGGAGTGAGGTGTTATTTATCTGGAGTGTAGATCCCCACATGTGTGACTTTATAGTCACATGGGATGCTCATATGTGATCATGGAAAGAATGCTTAGTATAGAAACTCACTGAAAACCGAGCATGTGCACTAGTTGGCAACACTCTTCTGCAAAATCCCCAGTTGCATTGGGGACGTTGACAGGAGGGAGCAAGAGAATGTCACCAGCACATTAGATTGTGTGATCACTGCATAAAAGCTTTGGACCAATTCTGGAAATTAGTGGTGTGCTGGTGACATTCTCTTGCCCTGATTACCGTCAGTTCCAGCCAATTGTTGCTGCAGCACCCAACCCCAACACCTGCTGCCACTTTGCAGGAACGTGAGCGCTGGAAATGGTGTGTTTGAATGGACAAGAGGGAGGAATAGTGAAAAGCAGAATTAAAGTTTTTTGCAGAATACAGAAAATGACCATAGTCACCAAGCGAGTATGAATAACATGTAATACAACAATTTAATAAGTTTTAAATAATGCGGGTTTAATTACATTGATTGCATTTAATATAAAGATTTGTAGACTAGACTCTGGCAGTTATCTGTGTGTCAAAGACTCCTCACAGCAATGCTACATAAGTAGTTGCCTAGAATTTGAACTGTTCAGCCAAGCTCGATACATGCCCACCAACACAAAGGAAAAGTAAACACTTTACACAGCTTGATAAGGCCTCACTGAAGACCTCTACCAAGAACCAATTGGCTACAGGACTTGCTGTTGAAGGTGACAGAAAAATCAGGTAGATGGTCCTGGTAGATGCCACGAAGAGATTTACTGCATAGTGGATGCGCAAGTCAGTTGAAAAATAATGAAGTCATTAAATCATGCTTTCATATAAAGAAGTTTGTGTCCAAGCACTTTCATGCCTAGCATATATCAGTATTGTTTCATTTTCTGTCACTGTTACAGTGGAATGAATCTGGTAGAGATTGATCCTGATGCTTTAGAGGTCTGGAGAGCTGATGGCTGAGTTAAAGCTGTTAATTTCCAAGAAATTGTGACACAGTTTCAAAAGACCCCCTAAGTCGGGTAGGCCTCTTGTTGCAAACTTGAAAAAGATCTAGATACAGGTGCAGAGACCAGTGATAGTAAGGTCATGCTCCAATGCCAGTAAAGCATTGTCACTCTTGAGTGTTGAACTGGCCATCAGCAGAGCAAATGTTTACCTGATGTTTTGTCATGACTCGCTTTTGCCAGGTTTCCACCATTGCTACGGATGAGGGTATTACCCTATGAAATACTCACAGAGTAGGGTGAGGAAATAGGGTAAGCATGTTCTGGAAGGATAGTGCAGCAAACCAGGTGTAGACCATCCTGTAGCAAGTTCTTGTGCCAACAGGGCGAGAGGAAGCACCCGAGTACCTTATAAGGGCTCTATATGGAAGTGCCAGCAAAGTGTGCAACCAGTGGTGCAATGTAAAACTTGAGACCACCAAGTTTGGCATGTTTACACATGGTGTAAATTTTTCAAACACAGACCCGGTTTCCTGAGAAACACGGAGCCTGAATCAGCAAAAGGTTATAAAACCAAAAACCCAGTAATACATCTAGATTGTAAGCTCCAAGGAGCAGGGCCCCCGAACCCCTCGTGTATTGCATTGTATTGTTATTGTACTGTCATATGTTCTGTCTCCCTTTGTAATGTACAGCACTGAGCAAACTGTTGGCGCTTTATAAATACTGTATAATAATAATACTACAAGCAGCAAATCTAGACCTGCAAAACTACTGCTTTGTGCTATTCTACCCTCCCCGTTTTTTTTTTTTATAAGGCCAGTCTCAAGACACCTCTAAGCTCTAAGTATACAGCCTTAGTTAGTATAGAATGCTTGGGTTTGAGACCCCATCCATAAGAGAGATATAGACTTACCTTAGTTCTCTCTCCTCATGCTGTGCAATGAGGTTACTGTAGAAGTTTTCCAACGTCATCTTCGTCATGGTGACACGCTCTTTTGTGTGGTTGCTCATTGGAAAACATGGTGTTTGTTCAGTCATCGCCATTGCTGCTGTTAAGTATAAAACAATCAGATGCTAAAATTCAAAAAGCTTTTAAATAATTTCATAGAATGAACGATTTTTTTGCATAGTCTGCACAACATCATATTATCCTTACGGCAACAAGAAAACTGCTTAAAGAAAACTTGTGCTTTCCTCAAACAGGCAAAGCAACAGTTCTGCTTTAAAGCTTGATCCCCTAGCAGCACCTACTTAAAACATTTTTGCTCTACCTGCTTATTCATAGAAATACTTGTAATTTTTGGTTATGGCACAGCAAAGTGACTCACTCATGTCACAGCATTGGTGTTTGGTGATCAGTCCAGCCTAGTCACATGGAGGCAAGTAGATAGTCAGCCTTGTGTAAGCTCCAGCTGCAAATCCAACTTAAACTTTACAAAAGGGATGTTTTAACAGGCATTTGAACCAAGGAGCAGTGGAGTGCAAGACGACAAGCATATAATGATAGGGATGGGGTGGGCATAAAGTAAAGCTGTTGCTTTGTCCTGCACACTCAAGGTTCTCTTTAAAAAACCAGAACTCCAAGCTTACATATAATAAATATCCATGTAATGCTCATTTTACAGGGGGATGATCAAATGCAGGTACTGCTTACCCTAATCCAGGATCCCACTGCAGTTGACAGTCTGTTCCTCCACTCTCCTGTGGGCAGGCACTCCCATACAAACCAGAACCTGTGGTGGCAACAACATATTTTATGTAGAGAGAGTAAGGCTTGGTAGCCACAAAGGAGATATTATATATAGCAAGTGAGGCTATTGAAAACCATGATTATACAATGGATCTTTTTTAACCAAATCTGATGCTGCCCAGGTAACAGGTCAGAGCAAACGTAGGAGGTAAAACACTACTAGCTCTGATATCAATAACATCTTTACTGTACAATTTAAGTAGCTAACTTTTTCCAAACTACACCATCACCATGAATAACTAGCTAAAGGAAACTATAACCGGCTTACCATTTTATATTTTGTATTTAGAAACTAATGCTTTTTTTTTTATATTTTTTCATTATTTGTTTACACTTTTCAAAATATTTATTATTCACTAATAATAACTAGTTAAAGAGAAACTATAAAAAAGGTACCATAGACACCTTTGTATTTTTTAGGCAATCCCTGAAAATGTTTCTCTACAGAGAAGCCTACCCTGTTTCCACGTAATAACTGTACATGTATTTTCTCCATCAACTTATCCCTCAAAGTTATTACCTTTTGTATCACTTGACCCTCCCCTTTTAGATTGTGAGCTCTAATGAGCAGGGCCCTCTGACGACTCCTGTATTGAAATTGTACTGTTTGACCTCAAATTTTAAAGCGCTTCAAACTGTTGGCACTGATGATCAGTCAATAGATGCCCTCCTAGAACTGGATAACCATGCTGTAGCCTTCTTTAGGCTATAGCACGGTTGGCAAGTGGGAGGCGTATGCAGATGGCTGACAAAAGCCCAGGCGCCAGGAAGCAATTACTAGTCGCCATGGCGACCTGGCTCCTGGGATTTGTCGAGCCCTGGCTTAGATCACCCTGTATCCTCACATTTATCACCTGCTGGCTGCAAGTAAATATTGAATTCTGTAGTCCTTATTATATTAATAAGGAAAAAATATACAAGAGTACTATAAATTTTCTGAGGAATTTTCTACTTGCAGCAAAATGCATAACAATACGGAACTAATGTGCGTTATGGTGCACATTGACATCAAATACAAAGTTCATGGCAATGCACCTTAACACCCTTTTACATGCTGTTTGATGCACTGAAAGGGAAATAAAAAAAGAAAAAAAAAAAAAATCACGTGTGATATGTCTCTTAAAGTGAAATTCCAGGGTCAACTTTACTAATCTTAAAACACACACACACTTACTAAGCTGAACGATGTATACACTTACTTACTCATTTTCTGACCACTCCATTCTGGCCACGTGATTCTGCACTCCTGTGTCAGCCAGCACAATTTCAGGGGAGAGGAGAAAGTGCCAGTGAATGGGCATTGACATCTATAGGTGACATCATCACTGCAGTTCTAACCAACCAATGTCAGAGCACTCTCTCCTCTTCCCTGCAGCCACTGGCTGACATAGGGGAGAACACATGACTGGACCGGAGTAGGCTGAAAATAGGTAAGTATGTACATCTTTCTTACACAGGTTAGTAAGCATGGGCGTTAGGAGGAGGGAGGGAACAGTTTTAAGAGTATGCAGGGTTATCCCGGAAACTCCACTAAGTTTGGAAGGCAGCGAAATCAATCGGCTGTGGCCAATTAATATAATACAATACAATAGCCAGCAGATGACATTCCTCTAGCCACACTGTGGATAGGGAAATCAATAGATTTCTCTTGTTCGGCCTGTGGGCCCAGCATAGACAGGCTGATGAAAAAGCCGACCAGCTTTAAAACTTGTCCCAGGTCTACAGCACATATATCAGAGATGTCGAGGATTCCATTCCCAGATTAGATACCAGCTGCAGTGACAGCAGCTTCCTCCATCTTCATTAAGCTTCATCCCAAGCCAGTGGCCAAGGCTGGTGGTTCTCTGGTCCCCCCTTGGACATTTCTGGTTCCCAAGTGAACCTTTATGGTAAACCCTGCACATGCGTACTTTTTGTGAGTGCTTTCCAATTTTTAATATATTGTGATTTATTTTTTAATGCTACACTATGGACTTGTGCTGTTTCTTTTGTTTTCTTCCAGTAGTTGGAAAGTGAGAACTTTCTCTGGTCTTCCAGCTGCAGCTCCTAGTTTTAGCTATGTTTAGCACTCTGGGCTCTCTTACGCAAACCTTTTAATACTGTTGGCACACATATAGTATTGTCATTTACCAATCATTATTTTCCTCAATTTTCACCCCTTATTTCTTATTTGGTACTTTGTAGTTTTTTTTACCCATTTTGTATGATCCATCCATTTGGTAGATTTATTACAAATTACAATCTACGTTATGTCTGGTTTATCAGACCGAGAGCTGTAGTTTGTCTGGGCTTGACAAGCTCATTCATTCACATATTTATTACTCATTTAGAATACTGTGTTTAGTCCTGGAGACCTCGCATACAAAAAGATACTGATAAGATAGAACTAGTCCAGAGATGGGTAAAAAAAAATGGTGAAAGGTCTGAGGGATAAAAACATATCAGGAGATACTTCAGGAACTTTATACAGTGAAGTATTTGATCCCCTGCTGATTTTGAATGTTTGCCCACTCACAGAGAAATGATCAGTCTAAAAATTTAAGGGTAGGTGTATTGTAACACAGAGGCAGAATAGCAACAACAAATTCAAAAGAAATGCATGTCTAACAAATTATGCACCGATTTGCATGTTCATGAGGGAAATAAGTACTTGATCCCCTTCACAAAACATGACTTAGTACTTGGTGAAAAATCCCCTGTTGGCAATCACAGAGGTCAGACATTTCCTGTAGTTGGCCACCAGGTTTGGCCCACTTCTCTTGGCAGATCCTCTTCAAGTCATTAAGGTTTGGTGGCTGACGTTTGGCAACTCGAACTTTCAGTTCCCTCCACAGATTTTCAATCGGATTAAGGTCTGGAGACTGGCTAGGCCACTCCAGGACCTTAATGTGCTTCTTCTTAAGCCACTCCTTTGTTGCCTTGGCCATGTGGTTTGGGTCATTGTCATGCTGGAACACCCATCCACGACCCATGTTCAATGTCCTTGGTGAGGGAAGAAGGTTCTCACCCAAGATTTGATGGTACATTGCCCCATTTGATGCGGTGCAGTTGTCCTGTCCCCTTAGCAGAAAAACACCCCAAAAGCAGAATGTTTCCACCACCATGCTTGACAGTTGGGATGGTGTTCTTGGGGTCATAGGCAGCATTCCTCCTCCTCCTCCAAACTCGGCGAGTTTAATTGCTCCCGTGGACAGGTGTTTTTTTTACAGGTAACAAAATGAGATTAACAGCACTCCCTTTAAGAGACTGCTTCTAATCTCAGCTTGTTACTTGTATGAAAGACACCTGTTAGGCAGAAATCCTGCTGATTGATAGGGGATCAAATAGTTATTTCCCTCATGAACATGCAAATCAGTGCATAATTTGTTAGACATGCATTTCTTTAGAATTTTTTGTTGCTGTTCTGTCTCTCAGTGTTACAATACACCTACCATTCGATTTTTAGACTGATCATTTCTTTGTTAATGGGCAAACATTCAAAAACCAGCAGGGGATCAAATACTTATTTCCTTCACTGTATGTACATTCTGGAGGAAAGAAGGGAAAGGGGAGACTTGAAACCTTTAATACTTGGAATAGACTTCCAGCAAAGGTAGTGAGTCAGTAGTATGTTGACTCAAACATGCTTGGGACAAACCAATATCTATACTCAGACAAAAAAAAATGCTGCTCCTAGTGGAGTTTAGCGTTTTGCCTGTAGTCCATGCCTATGCGTCCATGCACATTAGGCAGAAAAAAACCAAATACTTTTGTTTCGTGCTTTTGCAAGCGTTTTTTTGGCAGAAAAAAAAAACACTAAAAACTCCTAAACACCAATGCAAGAATCGCTCAAAATTAGCAGTTTTCTTTTTGTTTCTGCCAAGAGCACTGACGGTTTCTTAAGCTAGTGTGCATAGAACCATATAGAAAATTGTTTGCTTCCCCCCTACCCTCAAAGGTCCCAGAGGGTTGGCTTAAGTATATATGAAAAAGGAAAAAGAAAAAAAATCCCATATACGATACCCCAAAAAGCCAGAAATATGAATAAATAGACCTCCATATGATACCAGTCTAGCCCCCTCTGTATAGACATACCTAAGGATATAGGTCTCTCCAGGCTCACTCCACCAGACAAAATGCCAACTCCCAGGGTCCAAAGGGTACAACAATCTATTTTTATACTGCCCAATAATGAGATAAAAAGAGCCCCAAGCTGGGTCCCCTTGTCCCCCACACCCCGCTGGCATGACGATGCACCATGTGGTGCATCAATGTCAGCGGCACGACCTGCGCGGATGATGGCACTTCCGGCACA